CAGGGTGCCTGAGGTTGAACGACGCACTTCAATTCTGCCAGCACTGCTCGCAGGTGGTTTGTCCGGCGTGCAATAGCCTTCATCGGACGGAGGTGAGTCTATTTTCTCTAGCCCACTATTTTTTTACTACTGTATGTCAGCGAAGTTTGGGCAGTAGGCCTAGTTGTCCGTAAAATGTATTCGGCGGGCCGAAATCAAACCCAGCTTGACCGCACTGCACGGTAAAACGTCTCAGTTACCGTTTATAACTTCCTTCGGAATGGAGCAGTTTGGACTGGCTCAGAAAGTGAATATGAATGTTTGAGTTGAAATTTTTTATCTTCTGCAGTATAACCGCAAAATATGCACAAGTTGTGAACAGGCTATTTGGCAAACATTTGTACTCCGAAATTCATCATCGGGCCTGTACAATTTCATGGTTCAGTTGGAGATTTGGATAAAGTTGGGTGATTAATGACTTCTGATCATCGTTCGCACATGACGAGGTAGACAGGTTGAGTTCATTGGGACTTGAGGAATGTGAAAAGTACGGTTGACGGTGAGTAGTTTTCACTGTAACATGCAGGGAGTGAACAACTGTCACTAGGACTTGGAGGTGTCATGCGATCGCTAGCTAGCATCGGTTACAGGAAGAGAGCGTCTCTATTACGTCGTGAATCTAGAAGCTGTCTTACAGATTATATAATTTTCGAACCAAGGCAGTTCAGGGTTAGTTGACCACAATTCTCAAAGACCTCCAGAGGGACTGTTGTTTGTATGACAAGCGGTTTAAAAGACTGTGACCTGCGGGCATGACGATACCCAAAATGTTCGGCTTTCCAAAAATTCACGAACAGGGGGTACGCCTGCACACAATCTTTGATAGGCGAAGCTTCCTCTGTCAAACTATTCTATACTTGCTGATAAGAAAGTCTAAGCCGCTCAACAGTTACCTATAGCCCCAAAGCTTGAAGGAACCCCCTGAATTTGTTAAAGGTGTAAGTACAGTATACGTTGATGGACGTAAGATGCTCTCGTTGGATGTATCATCATTGCTTACCAGCATACCCGTGGTAAGAACCATAAACTACCTCTCTGACGTCATTCTGGATACGAACTACCAAATAGGTATGCCAGTGAAAAGCCCTGGAGAATTATTTATCCGGTACACACAAAGTGTGCAGTTTCTTTGCAAGATAGATAGGCGGTACACTGATGGGTTCACCAGTTAGACCATTTTTCGTAAATGCTTTTATGGGCAAGATCAAGAGAACGAGTCTAAGGGACACCGTCAGTTACCCCGAATTTTACAGTCGGCACATATATGACATCTTCCGTCTGCCAGAATATAACACCGATACCGACGCCCTAATCCAAAAGTCTAACAGTGTGCGTTCGTCGCTAAGTCTTCTACAGAGTCTGATGTGCATAACGAAATTATGTTTCTC